GGGTTTGTAGTCTGCCCTAGTAAGCCATGGAAAGTGACCTAGTATCCCGGAGGGCAGCCTGGATGCTGACAGAGTAGAGGGAGCAAAGGCCTTGTCACCCCCAGTCCAGACCTCACCTCAGGTAATTGCCACAGCTCACTCAGCTGCCAGGCATGGCCGGTCTGCCCACAGCTAGACGAGGACTCTGGGCTGCTCGGAATCCAGGCATCCTCACCTGGGGAAGGAGAGGGCCAACCAGGAGGAGAGCTGTGTTCCTCTCTCGCAGCTGACTCCATACATCTCCTGTTCCATTTGCAAAGGCTACTTAATAGACGCAGCAACCATTACAGAATGTCTTCATTCCTTCTGTAAAAGCTGCATCTTAAAACCTTTTGATCATAGCCACAGATGTCCAAAATGCAACATTGTGGTGCATTAAGCCAAACCTCATCATAACCTGAGGTTGGATCGACACTTACAAAACAGTGTACAAAGGAGTGGCAGGCCTAGAGGAAAAAGAAAAGAAGCGAAGGCATCAATTCTCCAAAGAAAATTCTTCAGAAACACCAAAGCCTGCTGCTGTTCCACAGCCAGGCCCTTCAAGCGAAGGAAACACTAAGGAAATTGTGCAACTTGATATGTCTTTAGTCCTGGAGTCTATGGCCATTAGTGCAGACACTGAACATTTTAAGCCACTGAAAATGAAGTTTGTGCGAGTCTCAGGAAGTGCAACCACTGAACATATAGAAAAGTTTCTCAAAAGAAAAATGGAGCTTGCTGCAGCTTTCCGGGTAGACATCATGTGTTAGTTTCTGAAGAACTTTCAAACTCTACAAAAAGTGCGTTGTGCAATAGGGGAGGCTGGGCTGCAGGATGGTCTGCTAGCCCTTTATTACAGTGTCATGCTTCCTCCTCCAAATGGGACTTGCTAAGGGTAGTGTGAAGGGACAGAAAGTAAGAAGGCCTCTGCAAAACTGCATCTTACTGAAGAGTTCTCCAAAACATGGAATCATTATTATTTCTGACATACCTGTATCCCACATCGGGAAAAACGGGATACAAAACACTGACTTTTTAAATTCCTTGGGATTCCAAGAACTGTGAAGTTGAAGGTTGCATCTCATCTTTGAGATAAGTTGTTGACAGTTTTTGGTTGAGCCTGTTCTCTTTCAAGTTGGTTGAGATTCTGCTGTCTGCGATGATTTCCAGTGGTCGTCCTTTTGGAAAACAACATACCAGAGGTTCAAGGCCAGTCTTCATTAAATTGCAGCGCACACTCACAAAGACCATTTTTTGTGTGCTACTTTTGTATGTTACCATCATATTTTGAAGTTACCTGTTTTGTAACTGACTTCACTCCTGAAGACATGTTATTCATTTCTAAAAGGTAGGAATTACTATATTGTGGGAAGATACTGTCTCCAGTAAGGTGTATGACTGAAACCACAAACCTTCGGTGTAGTAAGACACCTTAACATGCCTTAAGAGGTGTTCCTTGTGATTTATACATATATACATTTTACATATATATGTTACACACACACATCATAGTTGTCATCTGTACTACTGGTGTAGTGACCTCACACAAGATCCCCATAGAATGATTGCTGATACCTTGTGACGCCTTGTGATGGTAATGGTACCACTTCCAAAATAGAAAAGTTCAGGTTAAATTCAGACGTTTCTAGAGGACTTATTGTTTCTTTAGCAAGTCACTTTTACTGGTTGAATGTTTGCTGTTTTCCTATTATCTTGTCATTGGGATTAAAAAATAAGGTTGTTTGTAGGCTCAGTTGAATGTAGAGACTTCAATTTTAAACACTTTTTTTTTTTTTAACCAAAAAAATTCACATCCTGATGCTTTCTAAAAGGTAGCTTACAGACTCTGTTTCACAGAAGCAGCATTTTAAAATCTGTATTGGAAACTTTAAAAATTAGACAAAAAATGGTAATTGTAAAGAATTTGTGACTTGCTGGACATGGTGGCACATGCCTGTAATCTCAGAATTTGGGAAAGGAGAGGGGAAGATCACGAGCTCAAAGTCTCCTTCAGCTGTATCGGGCTTCAGCACTATTGGGAGAAGATGAAAACTGAAAGAAGGGTGGGAGTAGGGACTGGAACATTAGTGTAAACTTGAAAGTAGATGGTGATACCCCTGTTCTCTTCTTTTGGCCATGAGTTCAACACTCTCTTTCATGCTGTGCTGCCTTACCATAGTCCCAAATCAACAGGAACAAGCCACCAGTGGATTGGAACTACGGAAACTGTGAGCCAAATGAACGTTTTCTCTTTTTAGGTTGATTACATCAGTTATTTGCTCTAGGAATAGAAAGCTAACTAACAAACACCATAGTCTTGTATTTACAGTTGAAGTTGAGGTGTTAGAGAGTAAATTATAATGAATTAGTACAATTGCATGTTGTTGTTGTTGTTTTCCTTTTAATACAAATTGGATTAGTAATGGTGGAGACACTTTTTTTTTTACTTCTATCTCCTTCAAGGTGTTCAGTGCGATGCATCTCGATTTGTACAGCACCCTGATGTCTGCCTCCCTATGGGACAGCTCACAAACACTTGGCTCACCAGAAGACCTCCATAGCTGGACATCCACTGTGCAGATAGGCCACAAGAAGAACCTCTTAGTTACAGAGTGAACGACCCCATGGAGCTTGGACAATGAAGCCTGCCTAGTTGTTTTTGCTATTTGGGTTTTTGTTTGTTTCACTCGTTTTGCCTTTGTCCCTGCTCACTTGTTGAGCAGCTGAGTGTATAGTATACAGGCCAATGCCCTTAGCCTGTGGCTGATGTCTGTTCTCTTAAATTTAAAGCAGTGCAAACTAATTCTGTTACATGCATGTGTCTCTGTGTTTGTTTTTGAACTGCCTCTTCCATGTCGTGTTGGACTGGCACAGAACTGAAAAGAAAATTTCTGGGTAAAGGGTTTTGTAGGTAATGGCTATCTTGGTAAAAATAAAGTGGAACCAAATCAGTCAAGAGTCATAAGGGTACCTTCCACAGCCACAAATTTTGGAGCTCCATCAGGACAGGGCTCCAGGGAGACACCTCAAGTTCAAGTTAGAGGAAAATAAATACTTGGCGTATCATGGAGGTGTATGCTGCTGCATTGAGAGGCATAACAATATGTGCTCAGAGTCATTTTAGCTTATATCTGGCCCTCCCACCTAGCTAAGACTATGTGGGAAGGTTCTATGTTGCTGCTGTCCACTGCTGCCTGTTATGTTGTCTTGGTCAGATCTTACCCACACCCCAGCTAAACTAGATGGGTATGAGAAGGTTTGAATTCTTCCCAGAACCCAAGAATTTCCGGTGTTCATATCTAAATGAGGGTGTCCACATGGTACTATTGGTCGTTTTGAATGGAGCTACTCCAGAGTTGAATTGAGTCTGCTCTCAAGGCTCCATCTGTGCTCCAAAGGCTTGTTCCAGAGAGGCAGAGGAGAAAGGGCAGGCTCCAGTAAGGAGCTGTCGGTAGATACTGGGCAGGTGTAAGGACTAGCAGATTGCAAGAGAGGGACTCACATTCTGACCACCCACTTGCCTGGCGAGCCAGTTGATGAGGCTGGAATTTTCAGTCTGGCAAAATAGGAGTGTCCCATTCACTAAGGAGAGAATCATTACTGGCCACAGTGGCACTGCCTTCTCTTGCCCCTTGTCCCTTCATGTTCTCACCTGTCCCCTTATGGCTTCTAGGGCAAAATGACAAAAGACTTAATGCTTCCCATTGAAAGGCAGAAGTATGTCACCCTCAGCCCTGCCCCTGGGAGCCTGAGGTACAGAGTGGAAAAGGCCTGGCCAGTGCCCCTGTGCTCTTAAGGATGCTCAGGAACTCTGGGGACCTTGCACAAGGACCCTGCCCTCTTTGCTTTAGGGTCACTTGATCTTAACTAGATGACAGCCACTGGGTCCCCATGGAGAAGGCAGTGACTGCCTAGCACTGGGGACCCATAAATGCAGGCCACCACCCACTGGAGGAGTCCCTGGAAACCCTAGGAAGTTGTTGGGTGAGCATCCCAAGACAGGAAATATTCTTTAAAATCACCTAGATGCAGAAGCTACTCTAGAGATTTTGCATTAAAAGGATGGGGAAGGCAATACTGGTTTTTAAATTCTGTGTTTTGGGATGAAGGGTCACAGGAAGGCTCTGGCCTGCAGGCATGCGATCACTTAGGAACCAGGAAGATCAAGGAACACCTGCCAGTTTGAGGGCAAAAGTCAGGAGTGGAGGATGGGGACATACATTCAACTTACAACATGTATGAACCTAAAGGAAATAATGGCAAAGGAAAAAATCCTGCTGCCATTTCTAGGACAGCTAGGGCTGTTACACAGAGAAACACTGTCTCAAAGAAAAATTAAAAAAGAAAAAAAAAGGAATTTGGACTTTTCCAGTCTCTTTGGCCTCAACGACAGAAACAAGATGACAAAAGGAAAATCATCCTTTGGAAAGCATCCCAATAAGATACACACATTGTGCTGCTACTGTGGCTCTAAGGCCTACCACCTTGAGAAGTCGACTATGGCAAATGTGGCTACCCTGCCAAGGCTAAGAGATGAAACACTACCAGGACTGGGTGGATGGGGCACCTAAAAATTATCTAGTGTAGATTCAGACACTGATTCCATGAAGGGACAACACCTAAACCCAAGAGGGCAGCTGTTGTAGCATCCAGTTCATCTTGAGGATTTCAGTCAGTCATAAAATAAATGTTCTGGTATCAAAAACAAAACAAAACAAAACAAAACAAAACAAAAAAGGAATTCTGAACTTTACTGAGTAAACACCACATGTAGGAAGCACAGTACCCTTCAGATTACTTACTATTCTATAAGCAAACCACTAGAGAATACAAATGGGAAGGTCACATCATTATAGGTACACAGCATTTTAATGCTAGTACATGATAAATTATATTCATGCATCCATAGAATAGAACTACATTTTCAAAAAGTTACATAACTTAGATTCAAAGTTGGTTTGGATACTTTCACAGGTTTCACTTTGAAGAACCAAATCAGACATCCTACAATTTCATTCAGATCTGGTCAAAGGTGAGGCTCATACGCCTTCATTTTAGTAATACAAGCCCTACAACCCAAACCTCTACCAATTGAACCAGCAACTGATGCATCACCACAGAATAATAATAAGCCAGTTCCAGGCTTTGACTGATAGGCTAATTAGTGTTCTACCTTGTTTTGTGAGATAGGGTTCTCTCATTGTCCTAGGGCTCACTGCTTAGGTTGTTTGGCTGGCTGCCTGCTTATCTTCAACTTCTCCCTTACTGGGAATAAAAGCTTGCATTTTTTTTTTTTTAATGTGGGTATTGGGTGAAGAAGGGTCAGGGGTAGTTGGGCCTATATGGAAAACAGAGATTGACTCCTTAAGGAGAAGCTGTACCTTCCTCCCCCGGAGGATGTTGGATCCCTTACAATTTGCTAACTGAAGATGGGCAAGTTCACAGAGGGAGACAGATCTGCCTG